AGTTATGATTATGCCCATTGTATTGTTGATTCTTTGGAAAATATCACTCATTCGGTACGTATGTGACTTGTTGCTGTCAAATACTGTGTTTACTTCTTCACTTTGTCAAGTCAGCATGGCTTATCGATTTATATGTCCTCTGCATAGAGCTTTCTGTTTCCATTTTCATTTGGAAGTTACTTAAAATATTTAGCTATAAACCCATTACATAGAGTATCTTCCCTGAATAAAAATGAGAAGAAATAAATGTTGTTCGAGTTCGCTATAAAATACTCGGTCTATCTTGCTGTGTAACCCCTCTCTGTTTCCAGCCACGCTGGTGACAAATTGTTGTAGTAAAATAGTATTGCTGTAAATAATAGCTTAAATCAATTGAAATTTCAATTTCACATTCTCATGCAGCTTTGCACCCTGGAGTTTGAAACCCGCCGTGCATCATATTACTGGTTACTGGATGCACTAGGCCTTTACCAGCCTTTTGTTTGGGAGTACTCACGGTTGAATGTGTCAAATACTGTGATGTCAAAGCGTAAAGTTAGTTTGACTCCTGAGTGTTCCTTTTATTCAAAATTATTTATAATGGTTTCATGCAGGTAAAATTCCTGTTTCAAACTGATTCTTGATTTTTATCGCTGTCCAGTTGAACCGTCTTGTAACAGAGAAATGGGTTGACAGCTGGGATGATCCTCGTCTCATGACATTAGCAGGATTGCGACGTAGAGGGGTAACTTCAACAGCAATTAATGCTTTTGTTCGTGGGATTGGAATAACTAGAAGGTTGGGCACTCATTTATCTATGTGTATGTATGTTCCCAGTACAAAGGAAAACTAGTGTTTGACAGCGTGTTGACAACTTTCTTTTTTGGATGCAGTGACTGTAGTATGATACACCTTAGTCGCCTCGAATACCATATAAGAGAAGAACTAAATAAAACAGCTCCTAGAACAATGGTTGTGCTAAATCCCCTTAAGGTGGGCATATCTAGATTTAAATAAAGTATTTGTGGATGGAGACATGCACAAGTATGTATTCTATTGCCAATTTACAGAAACTTAAGTTATGAACTTCATAATCAGGTTGTCATCACAAACCTTGAAGCTGGCTTAGTAACGGATCTAGATGCAAAGAAATGGCCTGAAGCTCCAGCTAACGATGCTTCGTCATTTTATAAGGTGGGCATGCATTTTGTACTATATAATAATGGATGTTCTCTACTTTTCTGTCTCCACATAATAAAGCAATTCAATGTCCTTGATCCTTTAATATGTGTTTGCCATTTCTGTTCATTTTTGTAGGTCCCCTTTTCTAGAGTTGTGTACATTGAACGTACAGATTTTAGATTAAAAGATTCTAAAGATTATTTTGGCCTTGCTCCTGGAAAATGTGTCTTACTAAGGTAGTGTGCGTTAACTCACATCTTTGGTCATCCAAAAATTTGCTCGATTTCAGTTCAATACTTGGCCTTAGATGTACAGCTCAAACTATAAAGCTTATTTGCATTGCAGGTATGCATACCCGATAAAATGTACAGATGTAATTCTTGCTGATGACAAAGAGACGGTTCTTGAGATTCGGGCAGAGTATGATCCGTCCAAGACGACCAAGCCTAAGGTGGGGTTTTTGATGTTAAATTCTTCTGTGTCATGGTTGGTTTAGAGTTTCAGATCTGTTGTTCCTGAAACAATGTTGTTGCAGGGTGTTCTTCATTGGGTTGCAGAACCTTCACCCGGGGTTGATCCACTTAAGGTGGAGGTCCGGCTATTTGACAGGCTCTTCCTCTCCGAGGTTTCTTTTGTTTACCTTGTCAAACTTACTTTTCACCTTTCTCAATCAGTCATTTTGAAGCTAATTGTTGCTTGGTTTTGTGATAAGAATCCCGCCGAACTCGAAGACTGGCTTGGTGATTTGAACCCTGAGTCTAAAGTGGTGATACAAAATGCTTATGCTGTGCCCTTAGTTAGGACGGCTGCTCTTGGAGACAGATTTCAGTTTGAAAGGCTCGGTAAGTTCTAGTACTCGTTATTTCTTGGTAGGGATCTGAAATTTATCTGAGATGAAAGTTTAAGTGCCTCTACAATGTTACCCCCTTCTTGAGTCGTAAAATAGGTTCCTTTACAGTATCTATTACTTCTTTGATGTTTGCTTTGGTGCCTTGAAATACTAATAGCAGCAATCCAATTCTGCCTGAAGCTTTTTTCTAAGTTACTTCTAATAGAGTGATAGCATGTGTTTGTGAAAGGTCTGATCTGCTGAAACATGAGATTCTATTTGCTTTAACAAAATCAATTTTAAAGAGCCAGGAGCTGAAAAATGTTGGTTGCTTGAATTTTGTTTTTCAATTCACATTTCAAATTCGGAGTTTGAAGAGTTGGTGCTTCTACCTTTTGAATTCATCATATGAAACTATAATTTGTTAAACCGCTGAAGGCCTTACTTCCCAATGCCCTCCATTGTTCCTGATTTCCTTAATTTTATCAAAACAGATGAATTCTAATGCTTGAGTTGTTTTAAATGATGACTTTTGCAGGGTATTTTGCTGTTGACCAGGATTCCACTTCTGAGAAACTGGTCTTCAATCGGACTGTCACGCTGCGTGATAGCTATGCCAAGGGTGGAAAATGAAGCTTTATGAAGAAATGGAAGTGAAATGGCAGTGTGTGATCGAGTGAGATTAACTAATGCATTTTTCTTGATATTTACGTGTACAAATAGACATTTTCAAGAATGAACATTTTTGGTATTCCGGGAATACACCCAAGTTTAGATCTCGTACAAATCATCGTTGCTTAAAAAAGACAATAAAGTTTTGGTAGCTCAATTTTGTTACTCTCCCGTGAAGTCCATTTTGTTGTTTCTTTTCTGCAAAAAAATGCAGTTATGGATTAGATATGACATGAACAGTCTTTGGTATTTCTTATTAACCAATCAGCGGGGTAGGTCCTCTCTCAATCGATGAATATCCTTGAGGTGAAATACACTAATATTGTTCCATCGACTGGAAAAGCCAAATTCTGCTTCCATTTCATATTCAGATTTTTGAGTGGCTTCTTCCTAGTCACTGTAGTTTCTTTTAATTCTGCTTAAAAACCGACTTTGATGTGAGCAAACAGATAACTTTTTATATGGGAAATCTTGAAACTGCAGTTGTATGATTATGGGAGAAAAATATGGGCAACCAAAAGAGAAGAGTTGGAGGGAGCTAAGAAGGACTTAATAGATCCACTCAAGCCTTACTTTGGAGGGGAGAGCTTTGGTTTTGTGGATATTGCCTTGATTGGATTCTACTGCTGGTTTTATACATATGAGTACTTTGGCAACTTCAGCATAGAGGCCGAGTGCCTGAAACTTGCTGCTTGGGGCAAGAGATGCATGCAGAGGGAGAGTGTCTCCAAATCGCTCAGATCAATTCTTCGTTGCAACCGCTTCGATCCACCCTCAGCGGCGAAGCCAAGAATTTTTCTAAAGGTGTTCAAACTTGAAAGAAATAAAAATAATTCCTCAATAAAGAGTATTCAGTATATGTTGTATACTTTTAAACCTAATATTTTATCTGTATACACAGTATAATTTTTCGACAAAGGGTGATCGATTGACCACCCTTAGGACAATGTAGCTTCGCCCCTGTCCACCCCCTCGGTAAAAAATCATAATACGCCCCGAGTAATTCCTACCCGACCCTCATAAGATTTATGAGATACTACTAGAATTTAGAAAGAATTATGGAGTAGAATAAACATATTCACGTGCTTCAGAATTGGAGTTGTAGTATTGTCCTATTTTTCTAGCGTCCAATTCCTTTTGCATGCTTTTTGGGTCCTCTTAAATAGAGATAGACTCTGCTCAACAGTACAATGTACAGCAAACAAAGACAGCAGCTGTTTGGGGTGAATTAACTGCTGTTTGCAGAAGGGGAGGGGAATTTCGAAGAGAAACATTGCCACGTGAATTTGTGCAATTATTTACTGCCTCTGCTCTTTGCAATTCCATCATCAACTAGTTACGTCAATCTTCAAACTGATTAATATCTCTCAAAAATTTCCATTTTCTTTGGCGTTTACAAGGCAATGAAAAGAAGAATTAAGGAAATCGAATTTACTTTTTTTTCTTCTAATTTTCCTAGAGATATGTCATCTTGTTTAAAATGGTAATACTTTTATTTTCATTCGCTCAAGTTAGATAAATATTCATATTTCTACGGATGGGGACTCAGTAGGGTCCTTGTGTAAAAATTTATTATGGGTCATATGGACATTTTAGAAGCTGAAAGAGTCAAATGTGAGACCACTCAAGGGTAAAGACACCCATAATTTTGCAAGAAAAAAGAAATATCATATTGGTCCTTTGTGAGGATGATAGAGCTACTTTAATTACAAGGAACCGATTAAGTAAGTACAACTTGCACCAACTCCCTAAGTTAAACCCAAGTGTGCGGCTAGTGGTCAACGAAGTAAGTGAAAATCTCTGCTTGTGAGTGATAATACCCTTTTTAAAGTAGGGAAGTGAGTTTTGGAGTAAATTTTATGGGTAATTATTTAACTTTTTGTTCATTACCCAAAAGTCACTTTTTTCTTTTATTACGTAAAAGTCATTCAAATTTGTATTCATCATTACATAAAAGTCGTTTTTCTTTCTTTTGTTACACAAAAATCATTTTACTATACTCTAGTTATCACAATAATTACTTTGATCAAATTTTACAAACCTTTCACTTGAAAAGTTTATTATATCCTCCCATTTATGTAATATATTCGTACATTTAATTTTTTTTTCTTAATATTAATTTTTAAAATATATAAATAGAATTATTAAATTTGTCAGTAACATTACTGTGAACAAATCTCAAGTTCACGTTCTTAATCATGATTAACGAAATATGTTTAATAAAAATTAAAAAAATCAAAGATCATTGATTTATTAGCCAAGCCACACCCATTAATTTAATAAATAAAATACACATATCTAGCAAAATGACACATCAAATTAATACTTTCAAATAAATAATATTAACAGAGAAAGCTTTAAAAAACTTAATATTAAACACAAATATCTTTGAAACTATTTTTAAAATTTTTATTGACTATAAAAAATAATATTTGTTAAACAAATCTGTTTTTAATATTTTAAATAAATATTAAAAAATAAATATTGTTTTATCATTTTTATATTTAAAATATGTTCGTGTTTGAATATGATTAAACAAATTGAGTGCCATGAAAATAATTAAATGTATGGATATTTTATAAAAATAATAAATAAAATAATTTAAAGTTATTTTAATTATAAGTAAAATACCTAGGTGTATATATATATATAATTTAGAAGGTATTACATAAATGAGAGGATTAGTGTCAAGGACATAATAAACTTTTCAAGTAAAAGTATTATAAAGTCTGGCCAAGGTGACTTTTGTGATAAATAGAGCAAAGTAAAATAATTTTTGTGTAACAAAAGAAAGAAAAATAACTTTTGGGTAATGAACACAAAGTTGAATGATTTTTACGTAACAAAAAGAAGAAAAGTGACTTTTGCGTGCAAAACACACTTAAATTGTGCTCGCTAGTCAAAGATAGTATAGTATAATATCGTGTCCACAGGGATTGGATTTAAACAGTATTATCATAACTTGTAGCTAGATTGCTATCCAGGAGGATCAACAGTTGAGATTTATATGATTAATAATAAAATTAATTAAGAATCTAGAGCTAATTGACTGATGACAATCGAAGTAAGGCCTAAGCAAAGAAAGATATCAATGGGAGAAAATGGGGTTTTGATAGGATAGGTGTAAGATAATTGTCTGGGATTTAACTCTGGATAATTCACTTCTAATGTTTGAGTGAGTCTCTCGAATTCACTTAATTATCAGTACAATTGTTTAGTAGAAACGCCTCTCTCGATTAAGTCTCAACCTCACAATATGAACCAATTTAAGCTCTGTGAAGATATGCAAGAATGCGTAATGGATCGGTCTTTAGAAAAACCTCTTTCGATTATTTTTCTAACTAAGTTTAATCAATGATTCAACTAGCCTCTTTTGATTACGTCTTAGAAGAATCTATGAACTCAACCAACAATATAATGCAAAGATATCACAAGTTATGCATCTCTCGATTACATGAACTATTGAATATAGATGCAACAATTAAATCTTCCAAAATGATTCAAATACATACAAATAGAGTTATAATCCACAAACAATCATCAATACACCAAATCCATCAAAAACCAAAAGGAACTACTCCATAGACATGGAGAAGTTCTTTACAAATATAACTAAAATATAGAAAAATATAAATTCAATCCAAACCCGGATCTTGAGTGAGGAAGGAATGATGAAATCCTTTTGCTTGTATTCTTCCAACTCCTCCTTAGCCTCCTTAGGTCGAAAATCTGTCAAAAGTCCATCTAAAATGGTGTTTTGGAGTATTTAAGCCGCACCCAAAACAAACTCCGGACGAAACTACCATCTTTTAGCGGAATTGGGAAGTCACTCTAATATTTTTAGGCTATCGCGCCGCCCCATGCGGCGCGGTTGTGGAAAATTTCAGAATGATTCAAAATATGATTTCTGGCCACTTTTTGCACTAGCGCCCTACGGGGCTTGCCGCGGGGCGGTAGTGCAAATTGTGGCCAGAAATGAGTTTTTCAAATTTTTGACATCCAGACTTGATTTTCGACCCACGAACGTGATCCCGGCTTAGTTGCTTGGGCTTCTACTTATACTTCAAAGCTCCTAGCTCAAATTAGTTCCACGACATCTACATAACTCGGAATCACTCCTACAAGGTATAAAACACACAATAAGTGTAAAAGCACTACCAATTAAAGCTCAACACAAGTAAAGTGCAGTGAATTAGAGTGTAATAAGCGACTAAAATACGGAATTATAGTTTACCATCACGTAATGAACACAAAGTTGAATGACCACCCATAAAATTTACTCCGAGTTTTAAGTTGCACCCTACTGTGTGATNAGAGTAAGTTCCAAGTTGTGACATGTGAAAAGAGCCTAGTCTCTTCAAGAATTAAGTGATGTCCACTGATAATTGAATTGAAGTTTGAAAGGAGAAAAAGTATGATGCTTATAGTAAGTTCCATTTTCACATGGAAACTTAGCCTGTTTGGTCACATGCTGAGATGCAACTTTTTTTTAAGGATAGTTTCACTGATGTGACTTCAAAAAACTTTAGTGAATTCCCAAAGAACATTTGACAGCAAATTGCTCCTAGCATAAAGCTTTTCTTGAAGTTTAGTGCTCTTGTTCTTATAGTGAATTTGCCACATTATAGTAGTAATTTAGTGGTCAGAATCATACTACTTAATAGCCTTTTGTTTCTTGGATTAAGGATAAAGAGGAATGATACACAACTTAAGGCTCTATATAGGACTTTCATCCTTATATTAAAGCAATAAATTACTTCTAATTGCTAAAGTATATTTAGAGCCTAGAGATATGAGTGCCATCTTTCTTCTTTCATTTCTTGCTTTTTCCTATTTGAGAAATCAAGAACTTGCATTCTTCTGTATTCAATCATTCTTCTGCAAGTTCACATTGGTATACTTTCTCATTGTGCTCTGCTTGAAAAATGATCACTTCAAGTACATCTTTATCATCCACTCACAAGTCCCTTTTCTTCTCCTTTTTATCCTTTTCTTTTTTGAGGGTGTAACAATCAAATCAGTGATTGGATTTCACACAATTCCTTCAAGTTGACCTTTCATTTGACAGCAGTCCTCCCTACCTCTCTCAAAATACGATACTCCTTCCAGTTCACAATAAATGACCAATTTACTTTTTTATTTTGGTCCAAAATAAGTGTCCATTTATATAATTAAGAAAAAATTTAATTTATTTTTTCAAAATTACCCTTATGTACGTATCCCTAAAAAGTCTTTTACTCCTCACATTAACTATGATGCAATATTTAATTAATGGTAATTTAGTTACACTAACTATTTTTGTCTAGAATTTTATATTTTCTTAATGGATGTGCAAATTGGTCACTTATTGTGGATGGGAGGGAGTAGTGTAAAGCTCAAACTTCTAGGTGAGTTTTACTTCTTTTTTTCTTGAAAATTAAAAAAACAAATTGGATGATGATAGTATTTGTCATATGACGGTGCTATGATTGAAATCTCTCCACCCTAAATAAAAAAAATATTGCATGCGAGATTTAGGAACGTAAGATGGTTGGAATCTATCCACCATTAGTCTTGCATTCGGGATCTACGAATGTAATTTATTTTTTGTTGGTAGACATATTCAATGCAGATTCAAATTAGTCGATCCACTGAAGTTCAGATATATAATGATAGCATTTATCATATGATGAAATAAAGAGGATAATCACATGGAATTTGGTGCGATAATTAAAATCTCTCCACCCTTAACCAAAAGTATTGCATGCGAGTTTTAGGAACGTAAGATTGTTGGAATCTATCCCTTTACAACTTGTTTGGTGGTTGTTACTCATTGTATTGTATCGTATTGTTACTTTAAATACGATATTTGTTTTGATTGTTACCTAAATTTTATTGTATCGTATCGTTAAATCCGTCGTTACATAACGACGAAATGTGTCACTTTATGTAATGACTGATTTGATGTGGTCGCATCATTATCTTGTCTTTTTATCTAAATCTCACCCTTCATTTTTATTAAATAATTTTATTTTATCATTTATCCTACTTTTTTATATAGTAATTTTACCATGTATCATAATTTTTCTTTATAATATTGCAAGTTTATTCTTCATATTGTTGGTGTATGATATCATGAAACGATGACAAACGACACAATATATTCAAATATTATATTTATCAAACAATAAACGATACGTAACAACCATCCAAACAACTTAGTCTTACATTCGCGATCCGTGAACGTAAAATCTTTTGTTGGTAGACATAATTAATGCGAATTCAAACTAATTGGTCTAGTGAATTTCAGATGTTGGCAAAGAAAAAATATAAAGAGGTTGAACCCAAGACAGAGGATGGGGGTTGCTTTTCGTGGGTTGTGGGGTTGTGGGGGGGGAGGGCTTTGTATCACCTATAGACCATACTCCTTTTTATATTACATACAAATACTATGAATTATATGTTCCCTTTACATGATTAGACAACACTGGGTCTTTTTCCTTGGCATTTTGAGCTCTCCCTTTCAGTAAGTCACTTCCTCACAGTTTCCTTATATTTGACCACAACCTTTTGATCTTTCCTTAGTTACCTTTCTGTGACTAAAGAATCTATCTTCTCAACTATGAATCAACTAATGAATAAGTGTAATCTTAAGTCTTAACCAAGACTCCTTACTAGAAAAAGAAAAAAAACCCAGAAAATATTAAACAAGAAATCAAGAAAAGGCACAAGCTTCTTAATATATAGACACAAAAAGTAGCCATTTTATATTTTCTTTGTACAATAAGTATACTAGAGCTAAAAAACTACGAGATTAAGTCATAGTTAGAACTTTTAAAACCTACTAAAACTATAGCATAGGCGTTATCAAAAGTAATACTATTATTATGATTAGCATTTTTTGGCCCTCTTCTTTTAAGAGGGACTATAACTACATCTTCTGACTTTGAAAATTGGCACAAGTCTAATTAGATGTCTATATCTCCTAGCTTTCTGAATTGCCAAAACTCATCCATGTTCCACAATGATGCTGCAGCCATTTCATCACTAAACCAATGAGCTTCTGCCACCTCACACTCTGAAATTGACATTTCTTGAGATGAAAAATGTGGCTGCTGACTTAAGCTTTCCACATGGTAACACTCATTTTGTACTGAATTATTGTAGATAGTGAAATCTTGTGTCATCTCATTAGGCTGCAGCTTCAACATATTCATTGAATCTGTTGAATATATTCTTGAATTCTCAAATGAGCTTGTTTTTGCCTTATCATAAGGTTCTTGATTGTTGATTAAGGGAGTAATTAGTGAAGGATTATGTTTTTCAATGGAGGAAGATTGCTCCATTTTTTCAAGTAATCTTGGCATCCAAAGACTCTTGATTGCTTCAACAAATTTTTTGCTATTTGAATCAGCCTTGAGTTGTCTTGCTTGTTTTTGCACCCTTGTTCTCCAGTAGTTCTTGATTTCATTATCTGTTCTTCCTGGTAGATGTTGTGCAATTTTTGACCACCTGAATTCACAAACATGATTAATAAAATTGATCCCCCTTTTTTATGGCATTTGAAAATAAAGAATTATGTCCAAGATTGAGTGTTTAACAAAGTTAAAAGCAGTGTGTTCAAAACTCGATGAATAATAATTACTTTTCTACCCTTTTCTACTCTACTTAAATATCAAGATTTTGTCTGCGGCATAGTTTTGCACATTACGTGTTACGCTCTTACTATTGGATCAAAGTCCAAAGAAGACAGAGTTTGGATATCTGAATTTACCTGTTTCCCCATTTGGAGTGAAGTTCAAGGATTAAGAGTTGTTCTTGTGGGGTGAGGTTTCCACGTTTAATATCAGGTTTCAAGTAATTCAGCCACCTTAGTCTACAGCTTTTCCCTGTTCTCTTCAATCCTGCAAAAAAAAAAATCAATTAAAAAAAAAAGGTTTTTCCTTTTTTAATTTTATTTTCCAATATTATACAATTTTCCGATACTTTTTATTTCCTATTTCAATAATATTATATTTTAGGACAAAACCATTAGCTAGAAAATAAATAATAGTAAAAGTGTCGTTTTGAACAATAGATGTTTTTCACATTTAGCTATAAGAATGTGTAATTTATAAGTTTGCAATTCAAGAAGAAAAAAAGAACTACTTTGTGAAAATATTTCTTACTTTAATTCAAGAATTATGTAAAGAAAATAATGTGTTATAAATTACCAGCACATTTGGCTAAGGCATTCCAACGACCTTCACCATTGCTAGAAATACAATGAATAAGAAGATTATCTTCCTCAAGAGTCCATGGCCCTCTTCTTAGCTCAAATTGATCATCTTCATTTGAGGAATTATTACTCATAATTACTATGCCTTTGCTCATATGTAAATGGAAAATAGTATAAGACTAGAAGAGAAGAGTAGAAGAAAATTGCAAAGTTAGAGTGAATGTGAGAGAATTTAAAGGCTAAAGAGGTATTTTATAGATGACGACAAAAGTATTTCATATACGTGTCCAAAGGAAAAAACAGATGATATGAATAGGGGTATGTAGACCCCATTAAAGAAAGTGTAAATTTCTCCAGCATAATAATAATATATAAAGCGAAATCAAGATTTAAAATTTATGGTTCTAAACTGGTCACGGAACTTTACAATTAAATGTATATATATGTTTAAATAATTTTTAATATAAATATAAATAACTTGATTTGTCAGAACTCGTTTCGAATACTCTAGCTCCGTCCCTATTTATAAATCATAAAAACTCAAATGGAATTTGTATATTGATGATGTGGTGATAGTTGGCTAAGAATAATGATCTTTGTATGAGCATCAAAGTCTGCTCTAAATGCATGTGGATGGACCCCCATCTTTCACTTGAGGATGAATGTTGACCATTTAATTACACACTCTTTGCCCCTCTTCCACTTCCAATTAAAAAAAGAAGAAGAGAAACAAACAAAATTGCTTAAATATAATTTAAGCTGATTTTTCAGAAATGCTTTAACAATCTATATATTAAGTATACATATAACAGGGAAAATGTTAAATTTGCTCCTAATACTATTCGAATGTTTTTTAATTTTTTTATTCGTTATATTTTTGGTTTATTCATATTCTTATTGTTAGCAAATTATTTCGTATTTATTCTTGACATTAACAAAGCTCCAACATGAAATGAGTGGATTTCATGTCTCCAACTTCTTTGAGTTTAAAGGTCCAAATTTACCCTTTACCTTTAATATGATTATGGTTTAAAATTACTATTAAGCTAGAACTTTGTTAGGAGTAAGACCGCAAACAATAGATTTTTGCCTAACATCGAGCTAATAGAAGAAGGTAGTCCGGTGTTTAAGGTATTTTACGTTCACGGAGAGTTTGGAAACCGTATTTCAAGGGGTATGATGTAGACAACCTATTTTAATACAAGTATTAATAACGATTTCCACGGCTCGAACCCGCTAACACGGAGCTAAGTATTATGGCAAAAGTTTAATAGAAGACTTGTTCAAATTTTATATTAAATTTAGAGAAGTTCTTTATGAAGAAAGAGATGGGAGTTGGGATGGGGTGGGGTGGGGTAGGGGT